CTTATAATAGCTTTGATACCTACTAGCTATGTGATCTTGGTTAAGGTTCTTATGCTTGTTCTTATCGAGTAAGAATACAACACATTGATAAAGTTAAAAAAATTCTGAATGTATATGTCAACTAAAATAATTTTAAGATCTATTGATATACAGGATACTTCATAAATTGCAACAGATTCTCATTTTTGACCCATCTACTAAATTATTCATTAAATTGAGTAAATAAACCATCTTCTAAACAATTTTAACAATACACCTTATCAAACCTTCCCTAAGACTTTACTTTGACTCCAACAAACTTGTTTCTAAATGTGTATCTTTGTAAAGTATAGCAGTTCACTTAGGTCACCAATTACTTCATATGTTAATTATTGATGAATGTGTTAACAAAACACATGTGAACAGATTATTTTTTGCAAGAAGAAGAGACAGTTTAGGAAAGTGACTATCAATACCTCATTCTACAAAGAAGTGGCTGTGTTCTTATCAGAAGTTTCACATATAATCAATGGGATAACCAAAGGTTAATGAGCTGAGTTAAAATTAACATGTGGACTATGTTGCCACAAACATTTCTGAAGTAAAGTGAATAACAACCATTCCAATTAAAACTAACATATGAAGGCTGTTATCAGAGATTTATCTAAATACTTTCTGAAGGTGATGCGGTTTGTGTCCAGATGTCCCCCCAAAACCTCATTCAGTCTTTGGCAGGCTTTTCAGAGGTGGCTGACACTAGAGTTTGTGATTAATTTATGGTCCAGTGCTGGGATTAAGGGTGTGACTGCTACACACCTTCCCCTACAGCAGGCATACTGCATACCATATAAGGAACAGAAAGAAATTTGGCCCTTTCCTTCCATTGCTGCTTTTGGTAACTTCCCCTGCCATGAATGGCTGCCCCTTTGCCATGTGCCAACCTGCCTTGGAGCCAGCCAATTATGGACTGAAACCTCTACAACTGTGAGCTAAATAAACTTTTCTTCCTTTAACTTTGGGTGTTCAGTTCTTTGTCTCAGCAATGAGAAAAGAAACTAAGAATTGATATTCAATTTTCTAATTAGTATGTTATGAAGTCACTGGTTTTCTTCCAACTTCCCTGGATGAACATGATTCGCCTATTCCATTCTATACTTTTTTATTCCCCAACACTATTGCTCTCTTGCTCTTGCTTTCTGTCTCACACTCTTGCTTTCTCAAACACAAACACACACACACACACACACACACACACACATCCTTACCACTAATAAACCTCAATGCACATTAGCTAAGTGTTATCTGTCAATAGTACTAATTTATTAATTTTAAAAATATAGTCTACGTATTATAGGGGGCAGACGCTAAACATTCACTATATACCAGATTTTGTGATAAAAATTGTGCATCTCTTTCACTTACCATCAAACAAAACTGAAAAGATTTGTTCTACTCATTTCAGAAATGAATGAACAAAATAGCATAAATAAACAAAATAGCATAAATATTTTTATTAGTTTGGACTATGAAAGAAAAATTCAAGCTAGAACCCACTTTTGCCCTTCCATTTTTTACACAGAAATATTTACTGTTTTAATTGATTACCTCAATATTTCTGGCCCTTATGATATTGTAGAGCTATGAGAGATAATGTAAGCTCAGTCTTGTCTAACCCACATAGTCAGATGTTTCTTAAGATAAATGTGACCTACCTAGTAGGATAATTATCCCTTAGATGTTATCATTAAAATAGCTATAAACATACTGCACTGTGATTGTAAGAACAGTAAACCAGTTTTGTTAAACTAAGAAAAATTATATAAATTTTATCAATTTATACTTTACATCACCTCAAAAGTGTAAAACAAATCATATCATTTATTTGATCTTAAGAAGCTTCTGTTATTTATCAGTATGAGAAAGCTGCTTAACACCTCATAATAACTACCACTATTTCCTTTAAAATGTTGCAATGGTGTGTGATCTTTAAATAATTTCAAACTTGTATTTCTTATTCCAAGTTCCATTAATTCTGTGAACATGTATGCAGGCTTTCACACATATGAAATTTGAGTACTTACTGTACTTGCTGTATGGTATGAAAATAAATAAAATAAAATTCTGTATAAATTAATTTTAAAGAAACATGGACAATTAGTTAATTTTTAAAACATTCCTGAATCTGTTTTGTATTTTTGCCCATAGTTGTTTTGTGGTATAAGGCTGTTCAATTAATAAGATTTTCATAATTGAACTTATATACTTTGTTCAATATTTGGACCTCCAAAAAAGTACAAAAATACTAGAAAGTATGAAACCTTGAAAAACACAAACTGAACTTAGCTTTTGAAAAGGGTAAGAGAAGCAGGACAGCTTTCCAGAGAACAAGCAGCCATGATTACAATCCTCTGATTTGATCCTATTATTGGCTGACTATAGATTAATGAACTTGTTTCCACTGTGCTGATATATAATGCATGAACACGATTACTGGGATAATTTAGAAACAGGATGCCTTTAATCTTCTGCTCATATCAATCAATTACAATACATAGATTATAGAATGTTCTATGATTTTACACTGAGTCATTAAAAGAACTAATCTTAGAGCTAAATGAGATTGGGAAAAAATGTGATGCCCATTCATATGTAACACAGAGAATGGAATATTAACGAGCATATAATTTGCTAACAAATCCAAAAAAAAAAGGGGGGGGAATACTCTGAAAGTTGTAGGAAAAGAATATTTCAGGGAGTAGGAAGCCACTTTTACTCTTGCAGAAAGAAAATAGAATTCCAGGCTTTCCAGACTCAATACCTGTAAAAGTATCAGACTTATAAATAAGAATGTAATTCAGTTGACTTATATCTATCAATACATCTTGTGATATGACATATAAATATTTTGTTTCAAAACATAGACATCGCTATTTCCTTAAAACGTTTATTCACTGTTTACATGTGGCCTAAAGTGATAATTATCCTCATGACATTACTATAAGTTGCTTTCAGAACTTACTTACAATGAAAATTCATACCAGAGACCTTAATTACAATTCAGTTTGTTCAGATTCCCCTGGAGAACTTGATGTACTTTAGGAGGAGCATGAGCTTGGGTTTAGTTTGGAAGCAAGGTAGAAAACGGTGTTTGAAATGAGACGAAAACATTGTTCTGTGTTTTGTGGGTATCTGGTGAATAAGACTGGTTTATGTGGACACAGTGCGCCACTTGCCTGCGTTTGCAGTTCTTTTGTCTGCGGTTGGTTGCAGGCAGCGAGCAGTTGCTATCAGCAGTGACAGTGTCAGCACCGTGGATAGCTCTACAACTCAGCGCCTGGAAGAGGAACTCTGAGGACTTCCAAGTGTAGCTGTAGGGAGCAAGGAAAATGACAGAATGAAGTACTTTATAAAGAAAAAAGGGGGAAAAACAAAGCTGTACATTGATGGAACATATCTTTCATATTGTGAGGAAGGAAGGATGTGTGTAAGGTTATTGCATTAAAGGAGGTGACAACATAAAATAGGAGAAAATGAAGTTAAAAAAAGAGAAACAAACCTAGCAAGACACTTTAAAAGCGTGCTTCCCTAGCATAGGTAGCTACATTTTATTTCCCAAGTCTCCACGACTATTTGGATGGAAGTGTTGGTATACCGTGAAAGCCTGTTTTGGCATTCTCTGACAAACCAGAACGAAAAGGACTTTCTATACTGCCCTCTGAGCAGTTTTCCCTTTCTGTGGTAGAGGATTCTCCCGAACGGAGGAAAGTAGAATGGTGTGGCTAGTGTGTTCAGGAAATGAATGGTGTGGAGGTCACAGCCAGGCAGCTAACTCTTAGCCCCACCCACCTTTTGTTCCTTCCCCCTGGTGCACAGCCTCGCCCTTTTCAAACTCCTGCCTTGTTTTGCACCGGTCGCTCACTCAGTCTTTGGCTTTCTCATCTTTCTTGCAGCTTCTTGCACCTGAAAACCCAGTCACCAGTCCACCTTGCCACTCCGCAGAGACTGAGGCAATGAAACTGGGCATGCTCAGCGACACGGGCAGCCTTCAGTGCTTCCCAGGCGCGCCTCAGCACTGGGCAGGGACCAGCGCGCCAGTTCCGCCCCCGAGCTTCGGGCTTCAGCATCCACCCCAGAGTTTAGGGATCAGGGTTGCACCCTGGGGTTAAACTGCACTCTTAAGTGGCTCATCCTCAATCTCCAGCCTTCTGAGTGTTCACCCGGCTTAGAAATATTCCTCAGTGAAGGGCTGTCTTCCCACCTGTCTTTTCTTTGCAGCTAAGGGTGTTTGCTGTAGCTACTGCGGCGCGAGGGATGGATCCCTGTGGCTGGTGGCCGTGGAGATCACCCTCCCAGTGTAGCTGTTTGTCACTGAGTTTTGGAGATTTCTTGGCTGGCTTCCGCTAAAGCACGCTTGAGTAATCCGAGCTGTGGCAGCGCCCAAGCTCTCGGGATAAAGGGAGCGTGTGTGTGTGTGTGTGTGTGTGTGTGTGTGTGTGTGTAGGGGGAGAGGGCGGGGACAGAAACGTCAACCCCCCACCCCAGCCTTCTTTTCTTTTTCCCCCTTCCTGCAAAAGCAGCACGAGTCTTCCACCCCCTCCCCTTTCCCACTAGCCATCCTCAGGGCTCTGGGCAGCAGCCAGGTTAAGCCCATTTGCACTGGGAAATTGGCGCTGTTTAGGAGAAGAGAAACAGATCGATTGCCCTTGTGACTCCCAGCCCCCCCTTTCCACCCCACCCCCACCCGTCGCTCCCTCTCTCGTCCCTCCCCCGCCACCTCCCCTCACCCCGCCTCCTTCCCGCTCCCCACCCCCAAACCTCTCACCCGTGGCAGTCCGGTGGCCCCTCCGGAAGGTGAGGGGAACGCACTGGACTCGGGCGGGCAGCGCGAAGTGGTGCTAATGGGAAGCGATTCCTGGCTTGCAAAGAGGATGCTGTGCCACAAAGCGCGGCTGGCGCGCCGGCCTGGGCTCTAGGGCGCGGAGATCCCGGGAGAACTCCGGAGCGGGGCGCTCCTCGGAAGACCCGGCCAACATGCCTGTTCGCAGGGGGCATGTGGCACCGCAAAACACATTTTTGGGGACCATCATACGGAAATTTGAAGGGCAAAGTAAGTTCGTTTGTTCTCCTTCTCTCTCCCTCGCTTTCCGCTTTGATAGTGCGCGCTGGCTAGCAAGGGGAGCCCGGCAACTCCTGGCTCTGTCAAGTTCCGAGGCTGAGACCCAGCCAGGAGGTTCGAATGGCAGCGGGAGTGCTCTCTCTCTAATATTAATTTTGATTTACATTTTAGATTATGGTCTCCATTATCGAAAGCAATTTGATCCTCCTCTCCCACTGCTCCATTATCTGCCTTGCTTCTTAATGCCCTACTATTCTACTATCTTAAAGGGAACGTGCTAGTACAACATGGGTTTATATTTTGAGTTTTATTGCACACTTTTAAAAGTCAGGAGCAGAGCAAAGCATGCTTTTGGAACAAAAGAATGTAAATGTAGCAGTGATATAAATGGCAATGTGAACTATATTTTACCTTGGTAAATCGCAGGGTTCTGGAATGACAGAGATGCTTACCTGCTGTGGCTTATACAAGCTAAACTTTGTGTTGAATCAATGCAAATGTACGCCAAACCAGATCATTTGGAAAGCATTATCTCATCTGCGCGGGTTCCTAATGAAAACAGCTCATTATTCAAAAGACTGTTTCTGCTCTCTTATTGTTTCCTTGAATTTTCCATCTAGAATTTTAAAAATTGAATTGAAATAAGTAAAGCCCACATAGACTAAATGTACTTAATGTATTCATGTAGACCATCAAAATTATTTCATACAATCACATCAACTTAAAAATCCTACAGTGATCATTTATGTTGTTTTCTTTAATGTACATTAATACATGTTTATGTTGTAGAGTTTACACTTTTATAGCACCACATTTAGTAAGGTGAGGATCTGGTGCTTTATGTGAAAAATAAACTTATATTTCTTGTTTCATATTCAATCTGGAAATAGTAAACCTAGTCTTACTAAAATAAATGAGTTCTCTGCATTAAAAATTCTACTAGTGTATAAAAATTCAAGGTTCTCTCATTGTAAAAGTAAAAAGGTGTTAACATGACACTGTGCAGGTGTATACATATTTTGATTTTTTAATGTACATTTTTAAAAGGTGAAGCTTTGTACTATTGAAATGCTAATAAAAGTGAAATAGTTTCATTGTGAAACCTAACTGTCTTTTAAAAAACCATGATGTATAGTATACTTTAAAGGACAAAGAAAAGCCAAATCCAAGAAAAATAAATACTTCGTGAAAGTTTGTATTCCAAGAGTCAGAGTGGAAGTGAGAAATCTGACAGTTACAGGATGTTTCACTGTTACGGCTTAGAAAATTTTTTAGCCTTTTTCACTTTCTAGTGCCTTTCTAGAAATGCCAGCGGGCCAGCTGCTTGTATGAATGTTTACTAGGACCCTTGGATGTTACAGCACTTGAAAACTAAACTGTTTGGGAAATTCTATTCTTGCCCCTTGAATAATACCTTCTTAATACCTTTTGTACATAATGCTGTTAATCTCACACTTAGAGTTTACAGGCTCTTTTGCTGTGTAACTTCTTTTTTGTGTGTGAAAAGATATGGGAAATTTGCATTTTGTTTAAGCACTTGAATTTCAGCCCTTATACAATAAATTGCTTTAGTTTTTAGAAATATCTTACAGAAGCTTTAAAAGGTGCCTTATCATCTTCTTATTACAGATAAAAAATTTATCATTGCAAATGCCAGAGTGCAGAACTGTGCCATCATCTACTGCAATGACGGGTTCTGTGAGATGACTGGTTTCTCCAGGCCAGACGTCATGCAAAAGCCGTGCACCTGCGACTTTCTTCATGGGCCTGAGACCAAGAGACATGATATCGCCCAAATTGCCCAGGCATTGCTGGGGTCAGAGGAGAGGAAAGTGGAAGTCACCTACTATCACAAAAATGGTAAAGTTGATGTACCTGGGATACCTTGTTTTTGATTCCGCTGAAAATAAATTTTGATTACTAAAAGTTTATATGCCAAGAAACTCCAAATTGTAGAAATGTGATTTGCTTATAGTGTTTTATTATCTGGGAAATATGGAGAATCTAATTAGTGGACTAGAAGAAAAACATCTTCTTTGAATAAGGGTACTCAATTTGAACTTTTCAAAATTGTAGTAGCTTAACATCACTATGGATAAAATGCCACAAATTAGCCTTGCACAATAATTCCACTAAAGTATAATATGAAGATCAATAGTTTACTGCTTGCATTAATATATATTCGGTTGTAGAGAAAGAGTTTAATTTGCTTGAACTTGAAAATTCTTAGAAAAACTTTGTTGAAAACTGAATACTCTGACAGTAAAACTTCTCAACTTGCAAGTGTTACTTGGCACTTTAGGTTTTGATAAACAATATCTCTTATTTCCACTGTTCATTTTAACATAAGACTCAAGATGACATATATGAACTTCTAAAACTATATACAAATATTTACGGGCTGAAGACTTTTCTTAAAGAAGTGTAGAAAAAAGAATTATGATTCTGTGAAGTTATTGGTACTTACTTTTATAGCTGCAGCACACCGACATTACAAACTTAAGATCATATCTCAACTTCAGGGACACACCTCCGTCTTTTAAGCATCCCATGTTATGGCATGCAATTTATATATATACATTCCTATGTGTGAATTCTCAGGTGCACATAATTTAAATTTGTATATATCCTCACATGTGCACACCCAGTGATATTTAACAATTTCGGACTTAAAGGCAAAATAAACCTGCACATGGTACTCAATTTTCTCAATATTGCATTGTCATTTATTTCTTCCTCTCTTTCATCTACAAAAATTAACGAGGTAGAGGGGTATCTCTTCCAACTTTTAGAAAACTAAGTTTTGGGCAAATGTGTATTGTTTGAAAGCCTAAATAATATAATGACTCATCATTTAGTAAATTACAGAAAAATAGCAGGAAAATGGTTAACTTCCACTTATTTTCTGACAATTAAATTTTTCATGAGAAGAAATATGCAATTATTAATTATTGGATTTTTCCATTACATGCATGTGAATGGCTATGTGCAATGGAGGCTTCCGGAAAAAACAAGTTGGTGTAACATTGTATTAATCTGGCAAAAGCAATTATATGGTTATTAAACAGCACATTGTTTGGAAAGTTCTTCCCACTTTATTCCAACTTTCACTCCATAGTGTTGGCATACTAGAAAAAGAGTGATTGCTTTGTGGTTCTGAAAACATTTATTGGACTGAGGCTTTCACTATCCAAAGACAACTTATCTCTTTTGTGTACCTGAAGCTGAAAAACTGGGCTTTTAAAGTCATTTGGAAGTGTGACAGTATTCCCCAGCTGAGTGTTTATTATGATGTTGACACAGTCTACATTGTGGCTTGTAGGGTGTTGATCCATGTTTAGTCACTGTGACTTCTGAGCTATTTTGGAATTTAATTATAAAATAAATCTGGGCTGCCCCAGCCTCTTAGATACTGAGTGTAGTTTTGGCAGTGTTTTCAGGTAAAAATGATTACCTATTACTGAAATAGTGCAACTGAAATAGTGATGTTTTGAATCCTAGTTATTTCATACAATGTGGCTGTATGGAATGATCTCAAAACACCTTAAAGAACCAATTTCCCATGGAATCTGAAGAATAATTGTAAACATTTTTGCAAAGAAGATGTTAGTATGTTGACTACTGTAAAAATGCATCTGAATGATTTGCTTGGTTATATAAATGCAATTCATACAAAGAATCTTTACTTGGAAGCTTGTTTAGGTAGAGAAATTCTAGTCTCTGGTGACATTTTTGTTTCTCTTGATTTGTAGCAGAGATGTGACTCAATCGTAAAGGAGTTTGAGTGCTAACAATAAACTTTGGTCACCTAGCTTTAATTGACATGGGAAACATGAGAGGATTGGCCAAACCTTTTATGGTTTTCCAAAGGAAAACAATGGTTAAATAGAATGACCTTTTTTGATTGTAAAGATATAGTCATACTTATATGCTTGGAATGTAATAATCTTATGTTTTTTGCTGCAAGTTTAGAAACCTTGGATAGAATCTACAGAGCGTATTGATTTCATTCTCATGGCAACGGTGAAATCAGTCAGAGCTTATAAAGTTCCAGTGCTTTGATTGTCTTCCCAGCTACTCTATGTTAATAAAAGCAGGGGAGAAAAAGCCATTTTTATTGGTCTTCTCCTCAAATATTCCTAAATCACTACTATTAGGCCCATCTCTTTTTTGTTTTCTTGGTTTCTTAATTCTATATAGTAAATGCTTCTTTATTCTTAATTTAGCATTTCCCATGAATCCAAAAAATATAATGAGCACAATGCAGCAAAGTAACAGAAAGTAGAGGTATTCTGTTTGTGCTTGTTCCATTCATCCATAATTGAGTAACAAAAATATTGGTGAAGCACTATTTCTGAAAGCTTGTTTCCCAAAGTGACCCAGAGGCTTTATAAGCTGGGCAAACCTGGGATCTACGCAATGAGTCCACAGTGATGCGAATGTATTGTGAGTTGCTTGATCCACTGTGAAGCAACTCTTCCTCTCCTTTTCCTTTCTATGATTCTGCTACATACAGCTGAACTTACTGTTTACCAGGATATCAAGTTTTAAAAACCTGATTATTTGCAGGAGGAATATTTGACAGCCCTTCCTTTGAGGATTCTATTTTACAGTTTAAGTCATTATTGCATAAATCATTCTTGGCAGCTGTGAAATATTGCTTGAGGTGATAAAGCTGTAAATCTTTTGACATACAACTCTAATTATACAAAACTATAATTATGCTGAGGCTTATATAAGGATGGGCATATATTTTATTTGCAGAATATATTCACCTTAAAACCAACATTTTTAGGCATAGGGATTGAAAAATAGCAAACACTTCAGTGATTAACTAGTTCAGTTTGTGGAGAAGGGAATGGGGGCAAAAACAGAAAGAAAATAGTTGGCCATTCCTTAGTTAATTGCTTTTCTTGTTCATGTGTCATCATGGAATAGAGATAGCTATTTGAAGCACTAAATCCCTTCAGACTATAAATTATCAAACAGCTTTAAACATTTGGAAAATCAAAGTGAATTTCCCCAGGAAAAATAAAGGTCTTCATTCAGAAGGAAAGCAGCACCTAAACTGTACTATTTTTAGAGGACAGAGCCATCCTGTATTTTTGCTACTATGCTTCCAGATTCAGTACAAGGCAAAGTCGTTAACAAATCAGAAATGTATATCTCTACTTTCCCTTTCTTTGTGCTACTTTTAAAGAACTGAAGCATAAAAAATGTCTAAAGGGAATCCTTATGTGATATCCAGACAGAAATCAGCAGAAAGTTCCAGAGGCGATATTTGATTCAGCTTAGCTCAGATGAGGTCTTGATTTGATAAAACTACCATCTCTGTAAGTTGGGCGGAAATACTGTCTAACAAGTGCCGTTTTTGAGCAGAAGGATGAAGATTCATTTTGAGTGCCACCTCTTCCTAAATAACATATTAAGCACTAGATGAATAATCACAGGAGATGCACAGAATGATACAACCTAATCTATGCTTTCAGGACATTTGTGCTATAGAATTGGAAAACCTACAAAATTTAAGATTAGTTACCACTTTTCCTCTATTCTCCAACTTTAAAATAAACTTGTTAATGTAAACCTCTTTTCAACTTTTGCATGCATAACTTGTCAAAGAAGCAATGAATTTCAAAATTTAATAGTACAAACATAACTATTATAATAACATTATATAAGCTATATGGTACATAATATATTCAGCTCTCCTAATTTTTGGATTGTGTAGTAGAGATACAGATGGTGGCTTTTAAGACAAGAATAGAAGTATATTTTTTGTGTGGGTAATTCAAGCAATAAGAAAGTTTTCCTGGGAGTGTGTTCCTGAGAGTTTATTTCAGTGTCTTTAACTATTTGGTGTTTTAACTCTCTACCTATATTTTTTTCATGTTCTATTAAATAGGATAGTTTAACAGCAGTAATCATACATTCATGTTTTTAAAACACCTAAATTTCAACATCTTATGCATACTGTGTGTTATACTTGACCAATTGCATTTGTTGGAAAATATCTATTCTGAGGAAACATCTCTCCCCACAGTGTGAAGACTTTATTTCATGATGTGAAACCAAAATGTCCTGAAAATGGGAGCGAATTCTGTTCATCACATTGTTTGTAACACTTCTTGATACAATACCTGGAAGCAGTCTTCTGTTAAAAAGAAGTGGTGTTTTCTGCTGGCTTGAGAGATAAATAACTGCTTAGTTAATTTTATACCAAAAGCACTGGAAAACAGGATCATTTAAGGCTATTAGCACAGGGTAGGTTTAGTAAGAGAGATTTGCTGCTATTGGCTCATGAAGGTCTTTGTTTATTGTTGTGTGCTGGACAAGGCTACAGAATGAACTGTTGGCAGCCAGCCTACCAGGAAAGTCTTTGGATAGTTGTGCCATAGGAAAGTAGTAGTTGGGACTCCAAGTATTGCAGTATCGTCATTGGTCTGGCCATCTAAACCATAAACCTTGGGGTAAATTTTTTTTTTTTTCTTTTCTCCTTCTTCTCCTTAAATTCAGGTGGCCACCGAATCTGTTCTATATTTAAATGTGAAGTGCCTCACAGTACTACCTATATTTCTCCATCCACTATCAAGTACTCTGATTAAAGTACACTTAGTCCTTCTTCTGAAGTACTGCAGTCTTCCATTACGTCCCTTTCCAATGCATTCTGTACCACGGCTTCAGAGATCTTCCTGATACATGAAACACACTGATGACTTATTGGACTCACAAATCTTTGCAAATGAAGTTGAAGTATTAATAATGGTACAACAAACCCACAAAATATTCTTATCCCCATTGAATGCAAACAACCTTGAGACACATAGATATTTAATAATTTGTCAAATCACGTATAGCTT